GTCTAAGGCACTATTACTTTTTTAGATTGGAAAACACTGTTGTCTAGCTAGACTTTCTACATATCAATAACAAAAGGTTGAAAAAGAAATCAGGGAAAGAATATCATTCACAATAGTCATATATACACATGCACGCACGCCCACATGCACGAGCGCACGCACAGATGGTAGTTGTGCATATCCAAAATAAAAGAAGAAAAAAAATCAACTGTCTTATCAAACAAACACAAAAGTCCCTCCTCCATTCATACCACCAGGAATAAACCAAATGAGGAAAAGAAAGACTTATACAATGAAAAGTTTAAGACAATGAAGAAAGAAATTGAAGAAGAGACTAGAAGATGGAAAAACTTCCCATATTCATGGATTGGAAGAGTTAATACTGTGAATATCCAAAGCAATCTACAGATTTAACCAAAATTTCAGAGCCACTTTTTACAGACATGGGGAAAACACTCCAAACATTTACATGGAGTCATCAAAAGCAAGGATGGTCCCAAAGAAAAAGAACATTGTGGGTTGTATTTCCATAACTGATTTTAGATTATACTGCAGAGTCATAGTAACAAAAATAGCATGGCACCAATTCAGAAACAGACATGTGGTTCAATGGAAGAGAGTTAATGAGCTAGTTATAAGTCCATACAACTATAGTCACCCAATTTTGGAGAAAGATACACAAAAATTTATACTGGAAAAAAAATAACATTAAAAAAAATTGTCCTGGAGAAACTGGATCCTTACCTCTTACCACACATAAAACTCAACTCTAAATAGATCACAGACCTCCAAATAAGACCTGAAACTTCTGGAGCTGAAAGCAGGTAGTAAGCAGGTAAGGACCCCAAATAAGACTCCAGTAGCGCAAGGAATGAGGCCACCAATCAACAATGGGACCTCAGGAAACTAAAATGTTGCTGCACAGCCAAGGAAACTGTGAACAGGCAGCCAATACAATGAGAGGAAACCTTAATCAGATGTTTGCTGGGATTAAAGACAGAAAACACTAAACATTAAGAAATAAAAAAAAAAACAATTAAAATGGGTTTAAGAATTGAATGAAATTTTCAAAAGAAGAAATGAAAATGGCCAGGAAACACTTTAAAAAAGTGCTCAACATCCTTAGCCATCAGGGGAATAAAAAATAAATAAATAAATAAATAAAACTACTTTAAGGTTCTGTCTCATCCTAGTCAGAATGACCATCATCAGGAATACAAATGACAATACATGCTTGTGTGGATGTGGCAAAGGGGAACTCCTGTACACTGCTGGTGGGAGTATAAACTAGTATAGCTACTCTGGGTATCAGTCTGATGCTTTCTCAAAAATCTAGAACTAGACTTGCCACCCCAGGGCATTTACCCAATGACTTTATATCCTACTGCAGAGACACTTGCATGTCCATGTTCATTGTTGCTCTGTTTATGATAGCCAGAAAATGGAATCAATTTTGATATACACCACAGATGAATGGATAAGAAAAATGTGGTTCATATGCATAGTAGAATACTACTAAGCTAAAGAAAATCGAAATCATGAAATTTGTAGGTAAACAGATGGAACTGGAAAAGGTATTCTGAGTAATTTAACTCAAGCCCAGAAAGATACACTTCATATGTTTATCAAAGTTAAACACCAAATTTGGTGTTTAACTTGAAACACAAGTGGAATCCAGGAAACAAGAAAGGTGTTTTTTGGGAAGCACATTAAGGGAAAGGGGTTCTACATAAAATGAAAGTAATGAGGTAGACTGTTGATGAAAAGGATTCAGCAGGGTATGGGAGAACAGGAAAATCATGGGCTGATGGGGAGGGATAACCCAAAGAACTGGGTATGAAAAGCCATATAGAAGTCTATTATCTTCCTCAACATAAACCCAGCCACACTGAACCTCTTAGAAGAGAAAGTGGGAGGTACAAGAGACCACTTCCTGAACATAACTCCAGTAGCACAGACACTGAGATTGACAATTAATAAATGGACCTCCTCAAACTGAGAAGCTTCTGTAAGGCAAAGGATACAGTTGACAAGCCAAATGGCAGCCCGCAGACTGAGAAAAGATCTTCACCAATCCTACATCTGACAGAGAGCTGATCTCCAAAGTATACAAAGTACTCAAGAAACTAGTCAACAAAACACCCAATAACCATATTAAAAATGGGGTACAGAACTTAATAGAGAATTCTCAATAGAGGAAATAAAAAAGGCTGAAAGACACTTAAGAAAGTGCTCAACATCTTTAGCTATCAGGGAAATGCAAATCAAAACAACTCTGAGGTACCATCTTACTCCTGCCAGAATGTCTAAAATTAAAAACACCAATGACAACTTATGCTGGAGAGGATGTGGAGAAAGGGGAACACTCCTCCACTGCTGGTGGGAGTGCAAACTTTGTACAGCCATTTTGGAGATCAGTATGTTGGTTCCTCAGGAAAATGGGAATCATTCTACCATAGGACCCAGCAATCCCCCTCTTAGGCATATATCCAAATGATCCACATCCATGCAACAAGGACATGTGCTCAACTATGTTCATAGTAGCATTATTTGTAATAGCAAGAACCTGGATGCAACCTAGATGCCCCTCAACTGAAGAATGGATAAAGAAGATGTGGCACATCTATACAATGGAATGCTACTCTGCGGGAAAAAAAATGGAATCTTGAAATTCGCAGGCAAATGGATGGGACTTGAAGCAACCATCCTGAATGAGGTAACCCAGTCACAAAAAGAGGAACATGGTATGTACTTGCTCATATATGGATTTTAGAAATAGAGCAAAGGATCACCAGCCTACAATTCACACCGCCAGAGGAACTAGGATACAAGGAGGATTATAAGAGATTCATATAAGGTCCCTCACAGAAGGGGGAAGGGACAAGTTCTCCAGAGCACATGGGGAGTGGGGGGGGGCAGTGAGTGGAGAGGGTACTAGAAAAAAGAGAACGGGAGGAGAGGAAAGCACCTGGGACTAGTAAGATTGAGTCGGGGAGGAATAAAAGAGAGGACAGAGAGAGAGAGAGAGAGAGAGAGAGAGACAGACAGACAGACAGACAGTCAGACAGACAGAATAAAAGAGGGAGCCATTATAGGTTTGAAGAGAAAACTGAACCTAAAGAAATGTCCAGAGACCTACAAGACTGACCCCAACTAACAATTTGAGCAACAGTGGAAAGGCTACCATAAATGTCCTTCTCTGATAATGAGATCAACTTATCCACGATCACGGAGTCCTCATCTAGTAGCTGATGGAAACAGAAGCAAACACCCACAACTAAACCCAGATGCAGAGAGGGAGGACAAGACTAGGCTGCAGAAACACACAGAGACAGCTGACCTGAACAAGGAGTAGCTTACGGGGCCTAAGACTGATAGCTGGGAATCCAGCATGGGACTGACTCAGACCCCCTGAACATGGGTCTCAGCTAGAAGGACTGAGCAGTCTTAAGGGACCTCATACAGTGCAACCAGGATATATTCCTGGTGCACAAAAGGACTTTGCAGGAACATCCCCCATGGAGGGATACTCACTTAACCTAGAGACAGGAGAGAATTCCTAGTCCCTACTCCAAATGACTTGACAGATTTAGATGACCTCTCCTGGAGGGCATCATCCTACATGTGGAGTGGGGTGGGGGTAGGGAGGGAAGGGTGATCTGGGTACATGTGAGGGGGAGAGAGAGGGAAAGAGGGAGGGAGGGAGAGTGAACTGGGATCAATTTGTAAACTAAAAATAAAAAATAAATTAATATAAAAAAAGCACAAAGTCATGGTTTATTCCCAAGGGAGTTCAAGATGATAACTAACCAAAGAGCAGAAGGGAACTCAACTGCATCCCCAGTCAAGAAAAGGATACTTTTAAACTATGGAAAGTAACTCAACCATTAAATGTATGCCCAGTTATTAAATGGTTAACCAAGAGTCAAGTCAAAATAGAGGTCAATTCAGATAAAGAATTTACTTTTTTAAACTGACACAATGGCACCAAAGGGCTTTATTTCTGGAAGAAGCATAATTTTAAAATAATGTGTTACAAAAACCACGTCCTATATAATGGAAACTCAAAACAGGATTTAAAGAGAAACTGTTTTCTGTTGATTTTTATGTGTGTTTATGGACAATCCCAATGATACTAGTTGCCCTCTAAATAACTATCCAATTAGTTTTCAAGTGTAAATGTGAAAAACATGTATTTTTTGAATGGATGGAATATGGTGTTAAGCCTCTTTGTATAGGCAAGGGAAAAAAAAAAAGAAGTCTACTATCTCACATCCCAACTTAGAGAGTGTAAGTGGAGGGGTAGAACACGTATGAAAATAAAGAATTGGGTGGATATGGAAGAGGGCATAGTGGGTGGGTTAATAAAAGATGTGGATCTATGAAAAGTCACATGGAAGCTAGCTAGAGAACTAATTGCAAAATGTAAGTTTAAAAATGCCTTTGAGAATTCCAAAACAAATCAGGCTATCTCCATTGCTCTTGGTTACTCAAATTAACTACATGATAAGATCCTATAGCAGAAGCCACAACTTATTTTGGGTGAAGGACACAGAGAAGTCAATCTCAAATCAACTAGGAAATGTCCTCCCTGATGGCTGGGTTTAGTGCTGAAGAAGGTGCTATGCAGAGCACCAGGGAGAGAAAAGATACCAATGGTCTTACCCATCATGCTGTAATACCAACCTGCCAGGCAAGATTTGCCTATTGAGGCAGTAGTGTCATGCTTGTTGTAGAGTAACTAACCAATTTCTGATTGGGTATGAGTCCCACTGGAAGCAATTTTATGCCTGCTACTGTAATACTGGTCAAAAGTCCATGACTCAGGGAGTCCTAGGCCCTAGAATAGAACCTGTTATTATTATTTTGCTGGATGATCATGTTGTTAAATAAGGTTCAAGTACTGCTATAAATGCCATTCCACATGTCTTTTCTTCCCCAAAGGCCAGGGCCACTCTCAAAATCTGGAAAGTGAGTGAGGATTGAGAAGAGTGACAACATTTCTTTTATTCAAATTTTATTTGAAGTTTACAAATGTATTACAGAATCAGTAAAACATTATAATCACTTTACAGGGCACGGATCTCAAGCAAAGTGTTCAGAACAGTCTCTGGCAGAGCCCACACCAAAGGCCTGTGACAGGCCTCCCTAACAAACAGCTTGACACTTACAGATAACACAAACTCCAGCCTACTTTACCTTCTTGGGCCCTCTGAGGTTTGGTTTATGCATGTGGAATTAAATAGGGTCTGGGCAAAGCAACTCTGTGCAGGGAAGAATGAGTTTAAAGAGAATAAATGCTGGCCTAGTTTGCTGAAGAACACGGAGGAGTCATAGGTCTTAGGCTGCTAACTCAAGGTCAGGATTAAATCAGAAATCTCCATTGAAAACTATGGAGATCAGCTAGATAGACTCAAGAGGAGGTTGTATTGGCAAGTGACCTCCCAAAATTTAGAAATATTTGATTGGTGACCTATTGAACATGCATGGCCAAATGCCCAGACCATGAAGGTTTTCTTAGAAAATGCTCAAGATAGATATCTTGTGAGTTCATCACATTTGAACCAAAGAAATGTCTGCTAATAACACATGACCTTTCCAGTCTCCTTTTCATTCCTCCGAGAGAGGCTGGTTCTGGAAGCAGGAAATGAATTTATATAACAGCAGTAGCTTCCAACAGTGAGTCATGCTCTATAGGGGGCTTGTGATGACTGGACTCCTAATATGAGAAAACAGAAAAAGAAACCAATCCTTCCTCCAGCCTGACCTTCAAGGCTTCTGGATGGTTATACAGACAAACTCTGGGGCAAACTACTGATGAGAAGGCAAAGGTTTCATTCCCATTTCCTTTATGCTCAAAGAGATGTACTTTTTAAAATCGTGCTAATCTGCAACTGCCCTCAAGATCAGTAGTGGAAACCCATGGAACTTGATCTGCAGAGCCGGAGATGCCACATAGGTGCCAATAACGACTCTGCTCACATGTGACATTTAGGCCACTGGTTTGATTTTCCATTTTCCTTGGCCATAGGTGGATCTTTATGAAGCACAGCGTCTGGTCTCTGTTAGGAGCATGCAAAGGACACTCATTGCCCTTTGGAATGTAAGTGTCCTAAGTCCCTATGAGGAGGGGTCAGATGAGGAAACAGAAGGACTCCTATCTGACCTCGGCAAAGTGAGCAGGAGTTGCCCACATAACTGGCAAAGACCCTGAGCATGAAAAAGTGGGCCAAAGAGAGCCTTGTTTGGCCTAAGAGGTCAGTTTCCTTTAGCTTCCACAGTGTGGGAGGGAGAGGAAAGGGAGTCTCCCCATCCTTTATGATGATGCTTCCTAGATGCCTGGTACACTGCTTCTTCCCCAGGAACCTAGGGTAGAATCAGCTAATGAATAAGATGTGTTTTAAGACAGAGAAGACCAGCTCTAGTCAACTAGCCCTGTCGGACTAATTGTAAAAATGCCTGGGACAAGAACCTACTTTCCTTGGAAAGTTTGCACTAATCCATTGCTTATTATCTGCTTTGGTAGCAGGGAGAGCATTAAGTGCTATATTCATGCCACCACTGGCTCCAAATGAAGGTAAAAATGGTCATAAGAAGCAGAAATGTCCAGAAGAGGAGCAGATAATGCCATCTTGTTATAGTTCTGTAGGAGAAGCATCCTATGGTGACAAAATGTGGCTTTCTGTATTAGGAAAATCCAGACTGGTCACACAGCTGCTTGGAGAGTAAAAGATGGACTACAGAATGTAGGAGGAGGGTTTCAAACAACCAACACCAGCCATTCTCCCTCGTGCATGTTAAAAGCCAGGAAGCGAGGGCTGATTTTCCTCACTCATTCACCTTCATACATGGAGGAGAATCCATAACTATAAAGGATAGAAGGAAGGACCCTCAAGGGCCATGCACAATGCTACCAAGTCAGCATGAAACCTTTTCACAGTACCAAAGGTGGGATGTGCTGCTAGCAAGACCACTCAGGAAACTTTCGGTGATTCACAAACTCCTTAGACTGGGGAAGAAAGCTGGCCTAGCTGGTTCCGGATCTGGCAGTGGTAATGGGACAAACTCAGTTAACTACAGAGCTGTAGCTCTAAGCAAAGCCAGCCCAGTAATAGGAGAGATGGGAAAAAATTCAACCAAATCATCAGAGACTAGAGAAAAGAGGGAAAAAACTGCTCTTCTGAAAACTGGTTTACAGAAGAGAAAATGATGATCAAAGGGAACTTGAGTACAGGCTCCACTCACCAGTGAATCTTGGCCAATAAGAGGCAAGGAAGGGATACACTGGAGGACTCAGGGAGGACCTTAAGTACTCACTTCAGAAAAAGGATGCACTTGAATTTTGGGAATGAGATTCTGGGGTGTTATTTCAAAGTTATTAATTGAAGGTGGAGAAATGCTAGTTCAGTGACATTTTGCCCATGACTGGGCAGTCACTTGAAGGGCCCACTACTACTGTGAGGAACTGGCCTTCAAATGTCAATCTCTGTAAGGTGCCTGGCTGCATTTAGGATGGGAAGACATCAAAGGAAGAAGGGGTCTTGCTGGTGGATGGTTGGACTCTGAAAGCCTGTATCTCATTATAGTTTAAATTTTGGCCAGAATGATTTTGATGTTACTTAAGCAGTTTCTAGGCTACTTTCTTCTTGGGATGGGGGTGATTCAAACTATAACTGGAAATGTAAGAGGGACTCTGTCATGGGCAGAGCAAGAAAACAACTTTTAATGGGAGGATTTGTTTCATTAGATTTGGGGCCAGAGGGGACACAAGGTTTAAACCATTTGCTAAGTAATCTCCTCTCCCTCTCTTTTCTTTCCCAGTAATGACTTTTAATTCTCACCAAACAACAAACTCAAAGCTCCAAATTGGACTCACCCAATGTCTACCAGAAACCTGCCACGGCAATGGCACGGTGCTGCATAATTAGCTCTTACACAGTTTGCCAAGCAGTTTATTAACCTACTATACAAATGTAATAGAGTTAATTCTCCAGAGGCTTGGATAATTAATGAAACATTTAGATATGAAGATAGCATGCGGAAAACAGCCACAACCAACATTTGCATTGCTTTTTTTTTTTTAAATCAGTGACAATGACAAATGTCATATTAATACCTAAAAAGCAAATCATTTTAATACATCCTGGAGTATCATCATCACATCCCTTTCAGTCATCTTTTTCCCCAGACCCATTTAGGACGGCGTCTGAAAAGCCACTTTTCACATTCTCTCCATTAGAAAAACAAAACAAAACAAAGAACCCTAGAAAATGTTAAGTACTATACTGAAAAGAGACCATGCTCACCTTATCACGGCAAATGGCCACGGAGACACACTGTGCATTACAGGGACAGCACATCTCACGAAAGGAGGGTCCTCCAGTGGATTCCTGCCACAATCCACCGAGGAGAGGGAGAGAATGGACCAAGAGCAAGTGCTTCATTTTTTAAAAAAAAACTGAAGCGAGGCAAGAAGTTTTATTTTACTATATATTTATTTCACCAGCAGTGAAATGTCTTCCTTGAGCAAACTCACTCTTGAGCCTTTCTGTCTGACCAACAGTCCTCAAAGTTCAAAATGGAAATCTCTCTTGACACAAGGTCTGTTTCCCCATGTTGTTCTCCTGTCATCTCAGCAGCTTGACCCTCCTGGGTAACAAGCCAGCCCCTGTGGTGACTCAGCTTGTCTAATTGGATTCCCTCTAAAACTGGGGACTAGTCAAGGTGGCTGTCACCTTTCTTCTTTCTCTCTACAAGTTCCTTCTCCCTGACTTTCCTTCATACTCCCCACCCTTCCAACATCCACCTGCCTTTTGTTTTCAAATTCCCTTGTTCCCTATCCACCTGTAAGGTACACACCACCGTATCCAGAGCTCCCTGCTGTACTCTCTGGTCCTTCAGCTTCAAATGCTGAAGCTCATTTGCTATGAGGACAGACAGTTGTCAGGCTAAGGCAGCAGCTCTGTCTGCCTTGGAAGTAGAAAGCAGAAAATATGATCCAGGAAACATGAGCACCAAACAGTAATTCCACATTCAGAACAATGCCATGCTGGCAGCACACACTGGGACCACTCACAGTCACTTTGACCCCCTCCCCCCCAGGAACAGATCGACATTAAGCAACTTCAAGGTTCCAAACAGGGTGGCATTTCTCACAGAACTGGACTGACACTGGTTGTTATCTCTAATCAGCAAAAGCGACATTTGCAATTAAAAACCAAAAAGACCTACTTACTTTGTAGAGAGTAAATTCTACTGAGGGCGGGAACAGGCTTAAAGATGGCTCCTCATGATGGACTAAAGCATAAAATGCTTTGGGTAGAATAGTTAAATTTTTTTTTTCCAGCCACAAAAAGCCAAGTTGAATATACTTCTTTGAAAATAGTCTCACTGACATGTAACAGATTTGTATAGAAAGAGAACCAAACCAAATCAAAACAAACAACAGAAACCAGGTGGTCCTGGGCCACCATTTACTATCACTCAGAGACAATGGTGGACATGCACCATTGAAACCTACGATATAGAAATTCTTTTGATATTACAAAATACAAAAATATTTTATCAGAACTCTCATTTACATTGCATTTACAATGGACATGTAAATAACTTAGTTTGGGGTCCTGGCTAATAAAGTATTTACTGGAAAAGGGGTCCTAAAAGGAAGAGAACCAGAAAGAATATAAGTGAGCAGGTTACAATGTGTCATCTGGTAAGTGGCCATTCCACCTTGGAAAGCCATGACCTACCCTGGCCACCACAGCCTGTGTTTCCAAAGTGGAATGTGCAAATCATATTTGACATGTCCAAAACTGTGACATCAAGTGTATCTACCAAGTCAAACCTGCAGCCTTGCCTCCCTCAACTGAGAGCAGTCTCCATCTCTCCCCTATAAACCATCCCCGAGAGCACTTAAGAATTCACAACAGTGCACCTTTCTGAGTTTACATTCTTAGCTCCCATCTTCCCCCGTTCCCCGACCCCAATCACATTATGAAATGATACAGTTTTTGCTCTTCTGTCTTTTCCTGCTGTGCAACTGTCCTCTGCCACTTAAGGTGGAGGATTTGGGGACACCGTAAGAGCTATACTTGTGCAGCAGCTCATCACTTGTGACATATCGTAGGCGGGCTGGCTGGGGGATGGGTTCGCCTAGGAAGTAGCCCTCATTATCGGACTCTGAAGAGGAGGAGCAGGTGGAGCACCAATCATACTCCGTGAAGTAGGGTCCCCATCGTTCCCCAAAGGCATTCTGCAAAGCCAGATCTGACACAGTCCTGGGACACTGGCTGTACAGATCCCGCCGGGACCCTTGCCCCAGGCTCTCTTGGAAGCTCCGTTGGCGCATGAACTGGTCATAGTCCTCCCTGGCTCTTAGAGGAGGCCTTTCCTTCAATCGAGCAATGACCTCCCGTTCGCTGGCCAGGTGCAGGGCATTGTCTGAGCGTGAGCGTCGGGACCTTCGGGACCGGTGAGGGCGGAAGCGGCGGTTGTCATCCCTGGAAGTAGCTCTCCTCCGGGTGCGTTCACTCATGGGCTGGATGCGCACACCTTCCTGTCCTGGCAGCTTGTTGCTCGCTATGCTGCCATCAAAATCAAAGCTCTGGTGCATCCTTCCATGGGACTGCAGGTCCCTGTACCCTAGGGGGTTGCTGAGCTGGTGAAGGTTCCCCTCCATCTCCTGGTACTGTTGTGCAGACAGCAGGCTGCGGACCGACTCTGCACTCCTGAACTGCATGGAGGAGTTGAGAGTGCCCATGTTGCTCAGCTTTTCCGAGACATTCATTCCAGAGTCTTTGCTGAGGTCAGGCATGGAAAACCGAGATAGGTGCTCCTGGCGCTTGGCACCACCTTCGGCAGACAGGCCTGGGGGTGGGGACAGGAGAGAAGAGCACCACTGCAGTTAATACAAGTGTACAGAAATGGGGTGGGGGGTGTCACTATTACTCTCAGTCTGGGGTCTCTTCAGGGTATGGCATAAGTATGGGTGTGCAATACACCAAGGCTCTCATGGTGTCTGCATGGCATGGGACTCCCTACACAGAGAATGTATAAGCTTAAAACCATCAACAGACATGCGCTTTAGTAGTTACTAATTACTCTAAAGGCTTATGAGTTACTAAGAGTTCACTGTACTTCCTATGCACTTCCCTTCTATTTAGAATTTCATATTACCAAATACTTCTGTTGCATCTTCAATTCTAACCATGCTCTATTAGCTTTGTAGGACAGATGGTAGCCATCCAGTCAGTGACTGGCCAGGTCTAAGCTGTCTCTGAATTTAGTTCTAAAGTCCTGGACTAGTTTACTTTGCTGGCCCAAAGCAGTTTCCTGCTTGGCCTGCTTCCCTAAGTGCCAGGCAGCAGTTCATCTCAAATGGTTTGGACACTAAGTGACTCTCTATTCTCTCGGCTTGGTCAGTGATTGATTGCCCTAGGTTTATAAATGAATCTCTAGCAACCAGAAGATATGAATTGTTCCTGGGACATTCCTCTATCCCCCCAGGGAAGTGCCTTAAAAAATAAAGCCATGATCTTAATCACTATGGAAGAGCTGGTACCCAAGAAATGGGTCTCTATTCCTGAAGTACTTCCATATTGTAAGGATTGAGACAGAAACCATCCTGGAGATTGGAGATGTGTACTTTGGGAATTTGCTTTGCATATCTTTAAATAGTACTCTACATAGATGTGCATCTCCATAGAGTTGCAAATAAGCTACCATTACCTCTGCCGCTGATTATCTTAGCCTCCCAATGGGATCCAAGATGTCCTCTACCCCAACAGACCTAAATTAATGTTACAAGCCTTCTAGAATATGTGGCAATATCTAAAGCTAAGTACATATATGTAAACACACATGAATTATGAATAAAACTCTTTTTGTGGGGGCTTCTAGTGTCATTTCTCAACTTTCCATTGCCATTCCTAGTTATATACCCAATGTATGTTAGTAAATATGCAGATACACTCATACAGTGGAACTTATAACAAAGCCTGGAAGCCATCATTTAAGTGCTAACCAATGCAAAAATGGATAAACACATTGTGATTCTGTTTGCCATTACTCACTGAAAGTTACCTGGGCCTGTTGGAAAAATGAATTTCAGGATAGAGTAAGAATGCAAAAAAAAAAAAAAAAAGAAAGAAAAAAAAGATTTCAGAACATCTTGTACAAAAAAGAAAATGTTAAAAATAAAGTGTGATGAGAGTTTGTTGGAAGACCATGGTTCCACTCGAAAGAGGTTCCCAATGGCATATTCTGAACAGTTTGAACATTAAAATATTTATGGAAAGTAGTTACTTATAAGCCACTGAAATAAATGTGAATTCACAATTTTATACTGATAACAGACAAGAGAAACAACAGCAAGTCAATAACTAGGGGGCTGAGTGGGGTTCTGCAGAGCAGGGTGCTGCTCCCTCTATCATGGAAGTTAGTCTACAAAAAGGGGGCGGGGGCTAGCTGGCCAGATGTGGAAAGTCATTTTGCAATCACTGGTATTTAAAAGTACTTAACACAAGAGTCCAAAATGACCACATGCAGGGAGTAAACACCCGGTTAGAGTACAGGGACTCATGAGCCTTTGGCAAACATTTAAGTGATCCATGTAGAATGTTCTCTCAGCCTGTGTTTGGCTTTGTCTTCTATACTGTATCTGCCCCTCAAGAATGTTGTCATATTTGTCTCAATATGGCATCCTTCATCTCATGTTTCCTCCTGAATGCACAAAGAGTACTCAAGTTTCTATGCAATGAGATGTAGGGTACACTGTACATGACTTACAATCCTGAATAAGAGGTAAATTTAATGTAAGTAGTTGCTGTTCTGTTCTGTATAGAAAATAAGATAAAAGACTGACCATGGTTTTATAGAGATGCAGCCATTAGACCTAACTGAATTCTCACTGGGAGTTGGCCGAACCCACACGTGTGGAGTCTATACTGAGCACCAACTGAGTTCTATATCTCTGGTAATTTTAAAAATGATTCCAGCACTGATAAATGTTAGAGCAAGAGGAGCTGTGTGCTCTGCCCCCCCCCCCCCACTTTTCTTGCTGTTTGTCTCTGGTATATCAATCACAAAAAAATGATCCACAGCCATTTAGCCACTTTCAGAGCCTTGTCTAGCTGAAGATGGAGAGGGGACCCTGACATACTAAAATGATGAATGAGTGATATGAGCAGATGAACTCTCCCAAGGAAGAAAAGAGAATCTTCTAAAAGTTACCCAGGGGGCACCATTATCTTTGCAGAACTTTCTGTGTACATTATTTTGTGGGATGAAGGTCAGCTTCAACAGCCTAGTAAATATCATAAATTCTCATGGAAGCTTCCCACCAGCCAGCAGTAAAACATTCCTAAGACACATGTGGACAGGTTCCTAGCTCCATGCTGAGGGGCAAGTGAGAAAAATAGGTTCTTTTCTGCTCTAGTGAAGAAGTGGGACAGGGTTGGGCTTCTTCAAGCTCACATGTTCAAGGTGCCCTGTGGATTGCCCCCCCCCCTTGAAAACAAAAGTACTCTTCAGAGAGCTTAGGTTATCCATGTTCAGGCCCAGGGTCCATTAGTAATCCTGTTAAACGGAAGTTTACCCTGCTGGGGGACCTGGGACGAGATGGCTGGTTCCACTTGCTCCTCTTGAGAAACTTCTCCTGTGACTCACTGAGTCACATTTTCCTTGAGGGTCTTCTTACATGCAAGGGCAGCTCAGAGATGAGTAACACGTGTGCACTTGTCTCTAAAGAGGGTGGCTCTGTGGTTAATGCCTTTCCTGGGGAATCCAGAGTTCTCATGCAAACTTCAAGGTCTTGCTCTACTAGGCTGCCCACCTCTCTATGCAATCGTCAAGTCAACATTTCTCGAGTACTCTACCCCTGCTGTGACTGCAGTCCCCTTGTCATTCAACACACCAACCTGTCACACTTTCCTGGGTGAAATTATCTTTGCATGGCTAGATTCTGTTCACTTTATTCTCCACACAGATGGCAACTCCCCAGTGTTAGGGAGCCATTCCTTTAAAGGTGATTTTGACTCATGACCAGTCAACTACTCTTCCTTGACTTGTATTTAAGCTATCTACCCTGTTTCAGTTTTTAAAAAACTGTGCCTAAATTTATGGCTGAAACGGCTCTGCATGGGAGCTGCAATCCTAGTCTCTGTTTCCTGCATTTTCACAGAACTAGCAGGATCCAGAACCTTGTGGGTACTCGATATATAAATTCAGAATAAAGGCAAGTGAATTCCCATGCAGACCACAGCTTGGGTAAAGTGATCACCTTTGACCTGGTACGGGCCAGGATGCAGTTCCAATGTGTAAGACTGTAAACACCCAGTACAAAACAGTGCAATGGAGCTTATCAGTCTTGTGGTCTCTGGCAAACCACTCAGCATCAGGTGTAGCTCAGCATGAGGTGTTCCTGATTTTAAAGCTGAGGAACATATGACTTATAATTAGCTCCCTGAACTGAGAAATGCTTTTACCTCATTGGTCACAGCTCTGGAGGCTGGTTTGTTAGCAGTTCTCAGGTTCCCACAGCTCATATTCTTGTTGAGAAACATTTTCTCCTTCTTAAACTATGCACGGCAAGCAAGACAGCCACCTCCTGGCTGTACCACTTTTAAAACTCCACAAGCTGCATAATTAAAATGGGCACAACAATAATATCTGGGTACAAAAGTGGCAATGATGCTCAGGGGAGCAACTTCCTGTTTAAAATACATCACAATATTAACACATCTGTGAGTTTTGCTCTATCAATCTTTCTGGTTAGGTTAAGTCCCAAGAGGATGGGAATATATGTTCCTGTTACCTACCTCACTTCAACTGTAATTCAGGATGGGCAACAGTAGAGAAAGCGAGGCCTTAATGAAAGAAATCATGCCCTAAGAACTTGATACATGCAAAACAAACAAACAAATAAACAAACAATAGCAACATTGGTTAAATGTTGTTTTATGTGAATAAATGAATCACAGAACTAAACCTATGTTCTGTGAATACTTTGTAATGTTCACTAGACTATCAGCAACCACCAACTTAATGTCTGGGATTTCTTCCCTATACTGTTGACATTCAATTCTTTACTTTGTATAGAAAGGCTCATTGTCAAAATATGGAAAATCAGTACAATGGATCAAACAATGAGGTTCCCTGGATGTCCCTCCACTATCCTGAAACACAAGCACATGTCTTGCCAGTAGAGCATACCTCTCTCTCTCTCTCTCTCTCCATATGTGTGCATGTTTGTTTCTGTATATGTATGTATGCATGCCTAAGTACAAGCACATATATGGGAAGAGTGATACATTCTGTGGAAAATGCTGGCCACAGAGAAGTCTGACCCCTACATTAAAACTGGTATGATAGGGTATCCTGGTGCTGGAGGACCTGGGTAGAGAATCTACCATCACAGGGACAAATATGCCAGGCCCTTTCCTCTCAAATGGAACTGTTTTATCAGTAGACAGGGTTTCTCTTCTTAAATGATATAGACTTTGTGAAAGGTATTTGATGGGGACTATGGTAGTTTGAACATAATTGGCTCCCATAATCTCACAGGGACTGGCACTATTAGGAAGTGTGGCTTTGTTGGAGTGGGTCTGGCCTTGTTGGAGGAAGTGTGTCACTATGGGGGCTGGCTTTGAGGTTTCCTATGCTCAGGATACAGTGAATCAGCTGACTTCTGATTGTCTGCAAGATGTAGAGCTCTCAGCTCCAGTACTGTGTCTGTCTGCATACCTCCATGCTCCCTGTCATGATGATAATGGACTGAACCTCTGAAGTGCAGGATGCCACCCCAATGAAATGTTTCTTTATAAGAGTTGCTGTGGTCATGGTGTCTCTTCACAGCAATAAAAACCTAA